CATGGGTATTTTCCAGGGACAACTAGCAGTGGCACAAGGTGCACTGCCACTAGTTGTCCCCAGGGAACCAGATGTCCACGCTTTATGTAGGCGTGGCCATTGTTGGTATTGGGTTCCCTTGTCCATTCTCAAAATGCATGATGGCAAATCAACACAGAAAAGACCAAGTGTTAGTTATGTACCAGTTCCTATAGGTGTGAGTCTCTTCCACATCCCTATGTGCAAAAGGAATTATTCCTCCCTTAGCAGAAGAGGGGTTGTAGTGCAAATCAGAGTTAGAAGCTCATAATAACACATCAGGAAAAGAAAAAAATGAACAGAGGATAGACTTTTAGGCAAGTAGTACAACAGGAAGATAAGAGATGTTCCTGGCATCCTTATAAGCCTGGGAAATTGAGGTTTTCATGTTGAGCTGCAGATGTAGGTTGCCATGGCCTAAAGTTCAGATGATGGCACTTCATTATGGTACTTCATCTTTGCATCCTTCTGTAGCAGATGGATGTTGAGTGACGCAAAGGCAGTGCTTCAGAGATGGAAGAGCTAGTAAATTTGTTGGGTTTGTTATTTCTACTCTACTTCTCCCCCAACTTCCATTTTGTAAGGCTAGAAGATTCCTCAGTGAGAATCAGCTAAAATCTTATACTGATATTGCTAACAAAAATATTTTGTTTTCCTGGAGCTGAGGGAATCATCCTTTCTAACTGCAGGGGATTTCCTGATAGTGGTCTCTTCACTATTCAGGCCCTTTGCCTGGATTCACCTATCTATAAGCATTAACTTGGTTCCGTTCTTTACTCTTGAATGTTATTGGATGAGTATTGGGCCAATGGAAATAAATATATTTCTAAAAGCACTCATCTGATTATCCTTATTATGTGGATATTGCTGTCTGTGGTTCTGATTTGGGATGCCATACTTCTCTGTTGAACGTTTTAGTGCTTGTGAAAGCATTCAGAGTCATAGGGACATATTATTCCAGTCACAAAGTGAATAGACATTTTTTTTTAACTTGGTTTTCTCAACAAATCTACAAATGTCAGATTTCAAGGTGCACACTTTAAAATCCACATCAGTGAAGGACTCTAACATTAAATATGTCATTCCACTCATTATCTACCAAAAACCCAGCAACATGGAAGATATCAAATCTTGCTGTTTGAAATGGAAACTACAACATGAAGAAAAAAAGAAGCTAACCTCAACAATAACATATACTTTCTAAGCCTATGCAAGAAATGCATCACCATTCCCAAAAAACTGAACATCTGCAATCTGGTCATCACTACACAGCTCCACAAATGCTTCACAGCCCTGAGGGAGAACTTCAGAAAAATGTAGAAATCATCTCCTTCACATACTGTACTCCAAAAGAAATCACCTCGAAAAGGAAATCAAGACATGATAGAAGCACTTACAAGAGATGAATCAGGGTATCTTCCCAAACATTATACAGTGTACACAAAAAGAGTACCAAAGATTTATTACACCATCCATCCAACACAAAAAGAAGAAATGGAACCAGTTACTACAGGAACAACTTTCCCAGCCCCAAAACAACCTTCAGAAGAACAACACTAATACCATACAACATTCCAACATCATACTCGATGAAACAAAGTACCAATCAACCCTCTAATGTTATGAATCTCTTCCCACACATGCACCAAAGCTGAAAAAACTGTCCTCTCCAAAGGCCTTAATTTTTGTCCAAAAAAACACCTAAGTAAGATATTACAGTGTGGAGAACTAGAAGAATTTTTTTCAACTTCTCCATCTGAAGGAATATTTCCACAACCAAAACAAATCCACTTTCAACGCTAGATCCAGTGACAACATCAACAAAAAAAATCTATGCCAAAAAATCCCCCAAACCCTCAGATTGGACACTTTACAGTGGACAAAATTCAAACCTCGATTGCTGCATTGACTGCTTCAGAGAGAGAATGAACAATGAAATACTGAACAACAAATGCCACCATAACAAACAAAGAGAAGGGCCATAGAAGCTCTTAAGATTCAACCACCAAATAGTAATAAAACCAGCAGATAAAGGAGGAGCTATAGTTGTCCTTAACTGTGAAGACTATATAAAGAAGCCAGCAGATGACTCTGATACCACCTACTAGGAAAACTAGAGGGAGATCCAATTCCCCTTTTCACCTCCAAAACCACCATCACATTTCCATCTGATCTACAAGAAAAACTTCAGACCCTGATCTCTCCACTACCCAATCCAAGGACTTTTTATGTACTCCCTAAAATTCACAAACAAAGAAACCCTGGCAGACCTATCATTTCAAACCATGGGACGCTAACAGAAGAAATATCAGGTTTCATGGAATCCATCCTAAAACTACTTGTCACCCAAAGACAGTTTTATCCAAAACGCCACGGACTTCCTGTAAAAACTCAAAAACATAGATCATTTTCCCAGCAATACCTTCCTAGCCACCATGGATGTCATTAGCTTATACACCAACATCCCACATTAGGATGACATCCAAGCCTGCCTTGCATATCTAGAAGAGTAAGATTACAACCTAGAGTACAGACCTAAGGATATCACTGAACTTGTACACTTCATCCTCACATGCAACTTCAGTTTCAACAACCAACACTTCCTCCAGGCTGTGGGCACAAACATGGCCCCACAATATGCCAACCTTTTTATGACCCACCTGGAAGAAGAATTTAAGAACTGCACCATCAAACCCTTACTATACCTGAGATACATAGATGACGACTTCATCATTTGGACAGAACCCCTGCAGTCTCTGACTTCCACCAAAAATTCAACAATCATCACCCTTCCAGACCATCGCTTGAATACTCTAACATCAGCGTTTCCTTTTTGGACACTATGGTCAATATCCAAAATGGTGAAATTCAAACCACCATATAGAAGAAACCCACAAACCAACATTACATATCTACACAGAACTAACAATCGCCCTAAACACGAGCCAGGAAAGCTGTAATTTACAGCAAAGCTCTGATACTGAATTTGCACTGAGGAGAATACCCATGTTCACCACCTCATAAATCTCAAAAGGGCCTTCACCAAACAAAGACTCTCCTCCAGGGAGAGAGAGAGAGATCACACTTTTGAAAGACCTACCCACGTACCACGTGAAGATTTGCTGCACTACAAAAAGAAAATCCCCACAAATCATACACTATTACTTATGACCTATCGCTCTTCCTTGGAACCTACATGGGAAAATCCTCAAACAATTGCAACCCATACTTGGAAGAAGACCCATTTCTTAAAGAGCTATTTTCAGAACCACCCATTCTAGCCTTTAAATGAACACTGAACATTGACAGCTACATCACCAGAAGCAAACTTCCTATGGCCTAAAGCACACCGAATGGATCCAGACCATGCCAGGACAAAAAACGTAAAACCTGCCAACACATCTTGACTACTCCCACGATGATGACACCCCACAACAGAACCATCACCATTCCTGGATTTTGCACCTGCACCTCCAGAAACGTAACATATTTCAACCAATGCACCAAATGCCCTGATGGAAAATACATAGGAAAGAACAAACAGCAACTGCGCACCAGAACGAATGCACGTCGGAAATCTAGAGACAGGAAAACCCAATTACCTGTGGGGCCACACTTGTCACAGGACAATCACTCTCTCTCCAATCTCTCATTTCTAATCCTCAAAGGGAGCTTACAAAACACGTTCCATAGATAAGTCTGTGAACTTCACTGCATAAATCTACTGGATACAAAAAATCCTGGACTCGCTATAGTTTATTTGATTTATGATGCATTACAACCTGCCTGACGTTTGATTCACCAGATACCTACCAGATCTGACCTCTTACACTTTTTTTTCTTTCCCCTCCTCTTCCCCCTCTCTTCTCCCCTCTTTTTCTGCCCTTTGTCTTCCTAATTTCTAGCTATTTACTTCTTCAGTCAATCTCTTTTCTACCTTGAATTACTACTACTGTAGAGTCTCCCTTATCTTTGTTCCCCTCATGCTTCCCTCCAACTTCCCTGCTCTAGCTTTGTTTTCCTAATTTCTACCTATTTACGTTCTCAATAACATCCTGTCACACTTGGCTTCCTTCATTCCTTTTAGTCTTAGAACAGCAGAGACTTCCAATGCCTGAAGAAGAGTAATTGTGCCTGACAGCTTGCAAATAACTTTTTTCCAGCTACTTGGTTTAATAAAAGATATCACATTTATTCAAAGAACCTTGCCTGCCTATGTCCTTAGATCAACACAGCTACAACCAAAAACCTAGTAACTCATTATCCAGCATTTTTTTTGCAGATGCATTCTACACATTGCTGTTTAGAGCACAGTTCTCCTTTTTTCTTTTAGCATCTGTATTGTGAGTATGCAAGATCCTAATAATTCTATCAGTCATCTGTTAGGTAGGAGGGGTTCTGCCCATCTCTTACTAGATAAATTCCTTATCTAAGCTTTATCCAGAGTCGGGACCAAAGGTAGCATTGCAAAGAAGTAAGAATGTTGCAGAGCTGTGCTTTTGTGAGTTACTTTAGCCTAGCAAATTTGTTTGGGTGTGCATGGTATTTTTAAGAAAGAAGTTGGTCTGAAGTAAATGGATGATCACAGCTATAGCTCATCTTTGGCAGTGTATTCAGAACATGTAGATTATGGAGAAACGATTCCAGGTCTGATAAGTATTTATATAGTCTCTATTTGGTTGATACTATATTTATGGAAGTTTCCAGACATTTCAGGATAAACTGCCATAACTGCTTTGGACAGAATTAATGTTAAGGTCGCATCTGTGCTTCCAACTCCCTTTACCTCCTGCAACCCATCACTGAAACTGTCATATGATGCATATCTATCTGTAGGATGAATTATGCTGTAATGTTGGCTTGTTCTTTTCTGTCTCTTATGCCTTGCATTAATAAAAAAAATATTGGAAAGGGTAAATATAGTTTATAGCAAACATTAATCTGTTTTTTAATACCTTAATTTTTCTACTTTTCTCATTTAGGTGAGAGAGTGCCAGAAAAAAGAGCTGAACAGTACTACAGAGGATGATAATTACGAGAAGCCAGAGCAAAATGCACAGCAAGCATTTGTGTTTGGGCAGAATTTGAGAGACCGAGTTAAGGTACTGATTTTTTTTTTTTTTTTTTTTTTTTTTTTTTTTTTTTTTT